AAGATTGAAAATATGTTGCATCTTCAACATTACATGGCATTTTACAAATCAACGCCCGGTGCATTTACTTCTAAAATGCCAGGGATTCCTGGGGCTATCAGTGCAGCTTGGCATTAATACCTTGTGTGAATTTAAATTCACTAGAGCAGATGTGTTTAGCAGATAAACAGGCAACAGTGGACTGAGTAAAATCATGCCACAGCTGACCAAGTATTTCTCTAAAGCTCAACACAAGCCTACATCAGGAGATGCTTCTACAATTAAGTCTTTGTCATAAACCTGCATTTGTAATTACGAAAATCATTGCAATCATTCTATTTTATATTCGAAAATAAAAAGTTAAAATTTATATCCTTATTTTACCACCTTGCATTTGAGCCTCTAAATCTGTTTGAAGGATAATTTTTGATTAATCATCATCATATTAGTGATCAATCCAGAACAGAGAAAGAAACATAAGAAGAAAAACAATCAATATTCATATGTTAAAATAAGTAATAAACATTAATTTTAGCAATATAATAAGTGAATAAATCACCAATTCTCACTAAATTTGAGGAAAAATATGAAATATATAGACAGTGTCCAACTATGCGAGCTATTAGTTTAACCTTAGACATTGATGCGACAAATTGTAGTTTTCAACTTATATGTAATTTAACAGAAAAAAAATCAGTTTGACAGAAAATGTGATAGGCAGTGACAGATCCATGAGCAAGTCTACACTGGGGCATTTAAAATGATTTATGGATCATAAAAGAGTGGAGTAAATGGATTCTATCCACTAATTTTAAACATGTAGGAAATTATAAGGAATTAAAGAAAATATGAACAATAGAATGCTTGTGTCCTGCTAAGAACATAAAGGGGAGAACTACCTTTAGAGGTTGTTTAGAATCACCCAGGAAGCCGGTAAAAAAAAACCTGTTAATACTTTAGCATCCCTAGATCTTGTCAAAAGAGGCTTCATGTCACCTGCGTTATTTTTCTATGTAAATGTTTATTTACAGCACTGCTTTAAAATATGTGTGTTACATCTGTGCATTTCTATCCGTATTACATTGACGTACAGTCATTTTATTAACTGCATTTATGCCTAACCCTGATATTTACCCTATCCCTAACTATTAAGACTATTAACCTAAAGTTAATTAACAACATGCCACTAAACTGTCTGTCTAAGTGGGGATCCACCACATGAGGACCAGCCTTGGGTCCCCATAAGGCCTGTTAGTTCTCAGAGGTTAGTAAATATTTACAAAACTGGTAATTTTTGTAAGTTTGTTTTATCTATGCATGTTTTTTGGTGTGCATCATGACTGCGACTTGCTGAAAAATTAACATGTTGGTCAAACTGTTAAATGCTTTTTTTTTCTTCAAAGACTGATCACTCAGCAGGAGTGACAATAAATGAATTGTGAATGCAGGTACTGATAGAGGTATGGAGCGATTCTGTTGGCCTAGTGGTTAGAGCAGTGCGCTTTTGCTCTGAGAAGGTTGCAAGTACCCGGTTCGATCCCCACAGCCTGCAGTCTGGCTCTCTGAGCAAGACCCTTAACCCCACACTGCTCCGCCCCACGATGGCAGCTCACTGCTCCCCAAAAGGGGATGGATTAAATGCAGAGAGAAGTAATTTTTCCATTGTGAGATCATAAAGTTCAATTCAATTTCAATGTTGAATAGGTGTTAAACATCTATCAGATCCTCCAGAGATGCTCCCAGTTTGTGGAGTCCAGGAGCTACAGCTGGATCATGGCTGCTTTCTAAGACAGCCGGAAATTCTTCTTCACACCACATCGCAGCCACATTCAATTCTTTCTTGATGTGACATGAAACTAAAGTTACATTTTCTAACCCTAGCAACCCTTCCTTAACATCCTGATTTTGTGACAGCTGTTTCGCTGTAATCTGCAACATATTTATGTTTATTTCATCAACGAAGTTGGATCCACTAAAGCAACAAAAAAGTGCTTGTGTGATTGCACTTTGTGCAACCTAAAGGTCACTGCTATGACATGTTGCAACATAATGAAGATATAGGCAGAGATAGTTCACTGCTTGAACTACGCTGAATTATTCCTACATCACTGATAGTGCAACACAAATATAGGAAAGGCACAATAACCTGGATTCAGCCCTTTGAGAGGTTAAGACTTCTTTTGATTTAATTTCACCTATACCACTCCAACTCTTCATGTCTGCCATTAATTATAGAATTTAAGCAACAGAAAGAAATTCATCTATCCTATAGGATCTTTCTGAAAAGGGTTAATTTGCATTATTTTGCTAGCGCCATACTTCAACAAGACCCTATACAGGATTAAGAGCATCTCTTTTTCAAAAGGAAACAGTCAAGGGAATACTAGAGACAAAAAATATACCTGCATTATTATAAATGTTACAGTAATGACACTCATCCAAAAACAGGAGGAAATATGGGAGTAATTGGACATTTTTTTAAATCAATGAAAATACAAGCTTGAAACCTGGAAGAGCCTCTCAGGAGACCTCGATTCACAGCAGGTCTAGCTTGATTCTCCTTATATTTCATATGTCTGCAGTGAGAAGTATGATTGACAGACAGAAGTTTTTGTTCCAAAGAAAAAAAAAGTGGTAGTCTTAAAGGTATAGAGGAATATTTTTGATTTCTAGGTGGATCGTCTAAATAAGTGGTCCTCCTAATTGTCAATCATTTTGGTGATATGTTTATGTAAGGCTGTCTTACGTGCTAGTCCTGTTAGCTATCTTTTTTCTGCGTACTTTCAGGCGTGTATGTGTGGTGGGCTACGGTTTCAGACAGTCATTGAAGCTCACCTTTCTCATGACAGTTCTTTGAAAATGGCAGAGGGTCGTGCACAGAGAGCTCTCCTCGCAAAGCATTATGGGATTTGCTGTAACAGCAGCCCAATGTCGCCATAGGCATTTGCAACCCCAACAGCGGCGACTAATAACAAAGATGGCGGAGGCACTGTGCAGTGTAGGAGGAATTACATGACCAATGGGGGAGCAAAAAGTAGATCATTGGATCTAAACGGTAAGATAAGTGAGTTCGCTATAAAGTTCACTATATATTCCCCGCTCTATATAGTGATTGAGGGATTCAGGGGTTAGGGCAGACATTCGGGTACAGTAAGCTTGTATGAGCTATGAGAACAGCAACTTTTAAACAGAGCGTGCACAAGGTGAAATGGGCATATGCATGCTCTTGCATGCCTTGAAAAGTCGGTCTCTCATAGGGGCGGGTACAGGATTGTTCATGTACTTTTTTTTTTTTAAGTGGAGAGGTCTTTTAAAAAATTCGCAAAAATCCTCCACAAAACAGGGAGTGAAAACCAACAGAAGGATGGTTTCATCAGACAAAATGGGAAGTGTTGAAAAGCCTTATAGGCTCAAGCCTCCTGATGGCCTCCATTAAATGCTGTAGTTGTTTAGTGTATTAAACTTATGCAACCAGCTTGTTCAAAGTTTTTCCTTCATATTTTTCCTTCAAATCGATTTCTTCAATTTACAGCTCAAATGTTCCATTTATTACAATGGGTTTCTACAACTAGCTGTTATATATGTTAATGGCTGTAGGCAGACAGGATTTCCTATAGTTTTCGGTCTTACAACCAATCTGAAGAAGCCTCTGACTGTCTGATGAAGCTTTTGGTTTTCATGTTATGAAGAAGTTTGGAAATGATCTCTTAGGGTCTCCGAGTTAAAATCCCAAAATCTCTGATTTTGATAGAGGTGTATTCATATGAGAGCCTCTTTCCTTGTACTTAAAGTTAAACACATACATAATAGAATAAGCCCTTTAAAAAATGAATTATAATGGTGCTATTATTGAACTATTTATTAGGCACATTCAGCCTTCTAATTAGAACTTGTGTTTCCAATCTAATCATTACCAAATTAAACTATGGTACTTAACTGCTTTTTGTGAGAGATTTTACCTCCTGGTTAAAGGTGGTAGAAGAGAGATTTTTTTTAAGGGAAATAATGTGTCACCTTCTTCTAAAATCTAAACTGGGACTGGTTGACATTCAAGGATATTCACATGTGACATTTTGTTTGTTCCCACAGATCTGATCGTCAGGGGATCTGACAGAGTATACTACAGGTGAATATTTTTATCCCTACCATATATTTCTGTTTCAGATGAAGCAGGGAATGTGATGCAGGGAGGAGGTTACGCGGGGATGCATGGTGAAAAAGGGGAGGGTTTGGTCATATGTGACTTTGCCCGTTCCCAGGTGAGCAGGGTTTTACTACGCTGGTTCTGTCAGTCAGGAAGCCAGTCAGTCTGCTGGTTTCAGAGGACGGCCTGAGAGGGAGGGAGAGTGCGCACGTAGAGAGAAGTAGCTCCACTGAACGGCAGTGAGTATTCCCTCCAGTCAATCACTGCCCACAGAGCTGTTCAAATGATGCAGGATTTCTGAAGAGGCTCACGGGGCAGACGTGGGCGAAGGAGGGCCTAATGTCACACTCACTACACTGAGGGCGGACCTTGTCAATTTATTATACGAAGAATTGATGACTTAGAAAGTTGCGGCAGAAACTCAGCGATGAAAGAACCGTACGAGGGGTGTAAATAAAACCAGCGTCGCTGGCACTCAGCAGAAGGTGTTAATCCCTGACTAATGAACTCTGCCTCTGCCAGTAGCTTTCCTCTTGCACCCTTGGACATCTCCACCTGTGCCTGTGTGTTTGTGTGAGCGCATGAGGCAATGGAGATTCAGGAGGAGAGGGACAGGCTCCACTCTCCCGTCCCCTCAGCCTGACAGGCAGAACTCAGCCGCACAATTTCACGGTTTGTGAGCAGTACACACCACTGCTTTCCCATCCCTGAGACCCAGAGACCCACAAAGTGTGGCTATGTGGGGGTATTAGCTTGCGCATATAACACACATACACAAACACACATGGTCTGCTATTAATAGCCAGGCAAAGAACAAATCAAATATTAATCCTTCAACTCCCTCCTGGAATTGGAAAAAAAAAATGCATGAACTTACCATTTTGTTATTGATTTCATGAAAATGAATTTCACAGACTTTCTCTACGATGTCTTCACTCTCAAAAGTTATGAAACCAAATCCTATGCAGAGAGAGAAAAAGAGGGGAGGGGGTTGGAGTGGGAAAATTAGTTAGTTGAGGGCCTCGACAAAACTTCAGCAAGTCAAAAGAAAGCACAGCACAAGACAAGAGTATCATCTCCATTCCAGATTCTCAAACTATTCGAACACATCGGTGGAGATTGGCTTCCACATGCAAAAAAAAAAAAAAAAAGAAAAGATAAGAAAAGAACAAGTGAACAAGGCAGACATTGTCCTCTTTAAATCAGGAATATGATGAAATCTGCCACATTATTAAGGGCACTCAAGGACCCCCCTCTACAAAGAGAAGATGGGAAAAACAGCACAAAGCTCATTTAATGAGATCCAGGGAGCCAGGGCCCTGCATCTGAATTTCATTAAATGCATTTTGGGTTTCTTTTTATTGAAATCTCACTGTATAACAAGCCCCCTATTTTTATGTTAATATGGGCCTTAGAAAGAACGCGTCGTGGACAGAGGGATTTCCATGCCATATTTATAGGATAAAAGCTTAACCCCTCTTTTAACACAAAGACAGAAGCGGCGAGATCCTTTTTACACTTTTGAACACGAGTGGATTGTGTCGCTCCCCTCTCTGTTTTGATGGCGATGCGCTAAGCAAAGCAGCGCCTGTGGAGCCGGGGTTGCAAGGAAAAAATATTTGATTACTTTTGTAGAAGTGGGACAGAAACAGTGAGTCAGACTGAGGCACACAAGCTGTTCTTTAAAACATCACCACTGCTGGAGAAAAAACTGCTGTCAGGAAACCATCCTCAAGTTTTTATCTACTTAAAAACCCTATCAGAAGCCTTAAACCTTTGCACAACAAGTCAAATCTAAATGTATTGTATTGGGATACAATGTCATCGACCAGCGCAAAGTAGGTTAAAATAAAGACAAGCATTTGTGATGCCTCATTATAAGCAGCCTCTTTTACTCAGACACCTTAAATGAAATAAAAAGCAGTATCTACTCTATCTTTAAAGGGGGCAAAGGAGTAATTATAAGCATGGTTTGAAAAGGTGTTATTGAAAGCATCATCAAACACCTGGAAAAGGTTCCAATGGTCAGAAAAAATCAGACCTTTTCCAGCATACAGATCAATTCCTACAAGTGAATACAAACAATAGCGCTAAATCTGAAAATGGCAGCATCATGTAGTGAGGCGGCTTCTCTTTAGAGTGGAAGCCAAAACGGATGAAACTAACTTCAAGAACATCCTGAACTTAAAACAGACATGATGATCCACCTTCCAGCATCAACCTTCATCATACAACCAGAGCTGCAACAGGTAAGGTTTGGATTAAAGCAAATTCATGAGAGAAAATGGTCTAGTCAAAGTCCGAATACAATTTAAATCCTGACCTAAAATCCCAGATGTTTACATAAAAATGTATAAACAATATAGATGAAATAGAGCAGGAATTTTCTCTAGAATCTCCTCCAACCCATGCTGCTTTGATTTAAGCAACAGACGGCTCAATATCAACCGAGATGGGATGATACAAAAAACATCCCTCAATCTTAATACATCTATTTGCAAACTGCATAATTTTCATTCCATCTTCAAATTATTCCGAATGAATATTTAGTCTCTACCTTCCAGCGCAGGCCTATATATTGACATACTGCAAAGTACACATACACAAACTACATGAGAGATGAGACATTTATCTGCGCTTACTTTACTAAGGTGGTTTATCCCTGTAATATCTTTGGCTGCATTAGGTCATTGCTGGCAAAGCTGAAAATCAATGATCACGGCTGCTTTATGGCAACACTGGATTTACAGGATTTTTGAATCAAACATAATTAAATTCCTTTATTTGTAAAGCACCTAATACATTGGCCCAATACAGATATGATTAGCTTAGATTAAAAACAACAACAGCAACCAAAAAACACACTGAACTAAAGTGACATTTAACGTCGATACTAAATCCTTTTGTTCAGCAGCTTTGCATGTTTTCACACTCACATCTTTGCAAAAACAGTTACATTCACTATATTACAGTACATTAGACTAAGCTGCTTATTCTATTAATTCATCAGATCATCCAAACAGATTTCTTTCTCATGAGCTATTTGTGCTTCTTACCACAGCAGGCAGCCTATCGCAAATCCTGACTTCTTAGTTCACTTATCGCTCACACGCTTTCCCCCCTTTTCTCTTCCTTCATTTCCTCTCCTATAAATAAGAAAAGATCCTCCTCAAGCTCCTTTTCCTGACATATTGAAACAGTCTTGTCGGGAAAAAAATGTAATGTGGAAGCTGATTTAACATGAAAATCTAATGTAATGAGATCTTATGAGACAGAATGTCAATTTCCAGAGAGGGGGCAGATGTGAAGGGTTGGTTGGGTGAGAGAGGTGGAAGAGCAGGATATCTGGTCAGCCATGGAGGGGGGGGTACCTCTAGCATCCTTTTTTCTGCAGCTCACCCCACACCTCCAGCACAAGGAGCACTTTTGACAACCAACAAATCAACCGCCAGGAGTAATTTGTCACAGAGGAGTGGGGGTGGGAGGGTGGAATCTGGGGGAGCAGGGATAGAGGAAAAAAAAAAAAAAGGAGTGGGAAAAAATAAAAACAATGGAGATAAGGGGGGTGAGGGGAAAAAGACAGAAAAAGTGACAAGGAAAGAGGTTAACACACATGGCCCCTGTCGCCACACTCCTTCCTTCTGCTACAGGCAGCTCCTCCATCAAGTGACAGGACATTTTCCACTGCAGTACTATACCCAGTGAGGTCACGGCTCAGCCACGCCACCACAGATACCACCAGCAGGGCTTCTCCACCCATGACTGCATCGCTTTAAATGAACAAAAAAGACTTTTTTTTCTCCTGTGGTGTCAACTACTCTTAGAATGAATCTGTCAGCTGCTTTTACAATGTTTTTTGGCCCCTGTACAATATATATATATATATAAAAAAAATCGTCAACATCAATATTCTTTCGCTTGCTGGCTCAGGATACCTCATGTTCCCTCTGGGCTGTCAGAACCTCAGGTGCTTCTTTTGCTGTGCACTTTCTATGCTCCTATCCTGTATAATAAACCTTAGAAAGAATAAAATAGCCCTATTTTGTCCCTGCAAGGTGTCAGAAGACTGAGGCTTTCCTGTAGTACCCCGGTCCTTCTCCTCCGCCTATCCACGCCAAGCAGGAGGCTGACCTCCACAAAACTATTAAAGCCTGTCAACTCTTACTGACACAAGTGGAGAGGTGTCAGCATCCTCACAAAGAAGAGCCTTTCACGGCTTAAACAATAGCCTCTAAATGGAAACACCTGGATGTCTTGTAGGAAGGATGATAATAGGTGTTATAAGGCTACTGGCTGAGGCCTCTTGGCTGTATTTGCTCAAACTTATTAGCCAGAACTGGCCTTGGCCTCATCTCATCACTCCGCAGGATCGGCAGGGAGCCCACTTTCACGGCCCTTTACCATCTTCATCATGGTCGGTTTTTATTTCGCACTCAGCGCATGTTTCTCCGTCTTTGTTGTTCTAATGCTTTCCACCCACCTTTAGAGGCTCAGCATCTCCAAGGCTGACGAACAACTCATTCTGGCACAGGCGGATCACTGGAAAACTCGCAAATCACTGCAGAGATGCTGGTTTGGCATAAAACTAGACGTCGGCGGGCTTTTGCAATTTCTTTCTTTCAAAAACGTCCTTTTCCTTATCAGATATCCAAAAAGACATTGTGTTTACACATTAGAAAAGGGCTTTGAGCTGGTCGAACTCAGGGTTCAGGTATGGAAGAAGAGAATTTATACCTGTTGCGGCGTATTGTTGGAAAGATTTGTGAGCGCTTGAAGATGCATGGAGGCAAAAATAAGGATGACAAATTTACAGCTGCTACAGAGCAACTCCCTGATGACTGCAGCTAAATATAAAGCAATAAGTGCAAGACAGTGAATGCAAAGCACATATGCATCATCACTGATATACAAATTCTACACCTGGTGTTCACTGGAAACCTCTCTGGGTCAATGTTTGGCTCTAAGTTATAAGTAAAAAAAAAAAAAAAGGGATTTCAGCTCCCGGTGTGAATCTTGTATAATATGATATATGTTATTCAATGTTAAAGATGGTTGGTTTCTGTTATTTAGGTTACCATTTATATCAATATATATTTACCTGTTGTAAGTATTATTTAAATGTTAGTGTACGCTGCAAAAACGATCTCAAAATGACTAATAATGTCTTAAATTAAGGGTATTTACCCTTAATTTGAGCCGGTACATAAGATGATTTGCTAATAGAATGAGTATTTTTACTCTTAAAATGAGGTATCTAGATATTATGCACTTGAAATAAGAAAATGCTATTGTTTTTTTTTCTTATTTTAAGTGTAAATTGTCTTGTTCCATTGGCAAAGTGTCTCACTTAAATACTTACTTCAAGAAAAAATACACTTATTTTAAGAAAGAAATGAATTATTTAGATTTTATTTTTTTGCAGTTATTTTTCTTGTTTTCATACAAGTATATTCTTGTAATTAAACCTTATTTCTTTTAACTTATTAGTTTTATCTAAACATTGTGTCAGTACACTCAGCTTCTCAAACTGCTCAGTATTACTTCTTATAAAAACAACTGTCATTAAAAAAGGTAGTAAACTAAAGGAATGAGGCTCAGGCTTCACTTTAATATTTGCATTAAATAAAGTAGCAAAAACAATATTTAAAGTGGATTTTATTGAATAAATTGTTATTGAATAAACCTTATAGTTAAAAAAGTTAAATACATTCAAGGTAAACACACCTATAACATCCTATATTAAAGACTATATTAAAGAATATATTCTATGCAGGTGAAAAAAGAACAAGGCATTTCAGTTTGGAAATCTAAATAAAAACATTATTTTCCTTTAAAATATTAACCAATGACTGTTTGATCTATCTATATCTTATGGGGACAAACCTGCATGTCTACATTTCTATTTTCCTGTATTTACATGTTAAAACTTAAATCCTGATTATTTTGGTGAAAAAAAAGAA